ATTTTTCCCATCTGACGGTGGGAATTCCCGTGTCACGGTACACAGTGTCGTGTCACGGTATACTTTTTTAGGGTTTTTATCATTTTAGGGTTCCGTGTGTTCCCTCAGCACATTTTTTCTATAAATACCCCCTCATTTCTGATTTACGGGGCATCAATTAATTCTCTATTTTTCTCTCTTCTATGCTCTAGCCTAAACACTAGCCTACCCTTCTTTCAAAATTCCTTCGTCAAGCACTCTAAGGAGTCCGTACTTTACTCGTGGTTTTGTCCTTAAGCCTAGGCGTGAAAGGTAGAACTGTTTGAGGGTTTGGCCCCAAATCAATTCTATTTAATTTAATTTAATTATTGTTTTATTATTATTTCCTTGAAGTTACTAACTCGTTTATTATTTTGTAGTTGCAAGCAAACAGAATCAAAGTAAGAATTATGTTCCTTTTATTTCTATTATTTTTCTAATGATTTTATATTGTTAGAATTATTGTTAAATTGCTTCAAATATTGATGTTTATTCTATTATTTATTATGATCACCGTATTACATGTTTAAAGGGAATATGTAATTGAAAATCACGCCTAATAAAATAATTTGGACAACCGGTTTAGGATCCTTTTTAGTCTTGTTCTTAATTGAAGTAATCATAATATTTTAGAATTATGTGTTGCATTAATATTCAACCAATTTAGCGTAATAATAGTTTGGAGCAAATTGAATATTTTGTTTATATGCATTTGAGATCGCTGGAATGTTTTTCACTATAAGAATCAAGTAGAGGCCAATACGGGCGAATGTGACTCCATGACTCACTTCGTACCATCATCCCCGATCCTCCTTTCGTTGTTCCGAACCATATGGAGTTAGTAATCTCATGGATTATGAATGGGGTGTAACCTTCACGGGTCAATCGTTGTTTCCTTCGTTGTCCCTTATCGTGGTTGCCTTTTTATGATCCGTGAACGGTTTACAAGTTCCTTAAAAACTTGTTGGCGGCTCCCTACTTTATTTGTCCCTAATCGTATTATGTCAAATCCCACTTCCTATGAGTGCCAAGCATATTCACACATGCTTTAACGTAGGCGCACTTCGAGCGACGCCTACAGTAGTCGATAGGGACGGAGAATGATTTAAGACATTTTGCGATCCTTAATCACTCTGTATACGCCGATACCTACAGAAAAATGTTAGTATTACAGATAAAAGAGTAAAGGCATAAAATGCTTATCTAACACCAATTTATCGATGGCAAACAAGTTCCATAGTATCTGACACTAGTGCATCGGTGACAAATGAGTTTGGTAGCTTTTTATGCTTGAAAAAATCTATTGGATTATATTTTTTGTGATACTTTCCATGCTTGAGATAAGTCGACGGATAATTTTGGCAGGTTTCTATGCTTGAAGAAATCCACCGGATGACACTTTCCATGCTTAAGGAATTTCGACAGATGATTTTGGCAGGTTTCTATGGTTGAAGAAATCCACCGGATGACACTTTCCATGCTTGAGGAAAGTCGACATATGAATTTGGCGGTTTTCTATGCTTGAAGAAATCCACCGGATAATACTTTCCATGCTTGAGGAAAGCCAACATATTATTTTGGCAGCTTTCTATGCTTGAAGAAACCCACCGGTTGAAATACTTTCCATGCTTGAGGAAAGTCGATAGATGATTTTAATCGCTGTCTGCTTCGCCTTGAGAGGTAGCAACGACCGACAATTTTCCATGCTTGAGGAAAAACTTGTCTGATGAAGAGATTGCTAGTCTATGTGTATTGAGAACCTTGCACCGTGAATCGTCTTCGCTTGGGAGATGATGATGGTTTGCTTGTCCCCGAGCGTGGGCTGTAGATGGTTCGCTTGTCCCCGAACGTGGGCTGTAGATGGTTCGCTTATCCCCAAACGTGGGTTGTAAATGGTTAGCTTGTCCCCGGACATGGGCTGTAGTTGGTTCGCTTGTCCCCGAACGTGGGATGTAGTTGAGACTTGCAAAATGAAATTTGCCATGGGACTCACATATACTGTGATTGACTTGACCAAGCTTTGACTTGACACGAGATGACATGACATGTGTATGACTTCTGATTGTGTGTGTATAAGTATGATTTAAGTGTATGACCAGACACAAGCAATAAACAATGCAAAAAGCAAAAATTTTCCGTCATTTTTATCATGAGTGGAGGGTACCGACTTTCTCCCGAAAAAGAAAGAAGTGAAAAAAAGTTTTTTTTTTTGTTTTCCCTCGATGAAAAAAATTTGAAAAAGTTTTTGAACTTCCTCAAAATAAAAGACATGAAAAAGGGAAGAAGTTTTGAACTTCCTCGTTGAGCAAGACGAAATGAATCGTATGGATAATTTCTTGTCTTGAAAATAATATATGCATGATGCATGTCCTTAGGTCAGGAGGCTAAGGAGAACTACATCATGTGACACGATAGATGAATGAACTTAGGTCATGGAGCTAAGCATCATATATGGTGTAAAGAAACGATCTTGAACGTCACTTAGGTCTGGAAGCTAAGCACGTATATAGATGAAGTGATTATTGCATAATGAACATTGCTTAGGTCAAGGAGCTAAGCACGATATGATTTGTATGATTACAAATCATTGATATATAATTGGTACTAAGCACATTATGCGATGCGTGAAACAATGAATATTTCTCAGGTCAGGAAACTAAGCAAGTATACAATGTTTCTTTTAGTAAATGTAGTCTTGAAAGATAATGAAGCATGCGCGGTAGGGAAACTAGATTTCATGATAAAGGGTTCCTAATGGAAAGAGATGATATGTCTATGTATTTGTGAAAGAAGTGTGTGATAGTGATACTAAGGTGAGGCTGCAAAGGCTATGGTGATGGAAAGAGATGTGAGAAGAGTCAAAATGGTAACCCTTTAGGCTGGGTAGGCTAAATGATGTGGGTTCAAGCCTCCAAGTCTAGCTCTAGATGGATAGGGTCATAGGATTAATCATTGGATATTCTTTGACTCGATTATGCATATGAATGTGGCCGCACCACAATGTGAGGTTGCCTACGTATCCGTTAGGAATCAGGCCGAACGTAGCTCTAAACGAACTTTGCACAAGTGTATGTACACCTGAAAGAGGTCTTTCAAGGGCTGTAATGTGGTTAAGATGATGGTTTAAGGAAGAAAGGGGTAAAAGGATCAAGCCCCTCGAGAAGCCCCCCAAGATATGCAATTATGTATTAAACTTTACAAGTTTTTTTTCATATATATATATATATATTTTAATTTCTTTTCTTTTTTTCATTCTTTTGAATCAGTGTAGGAAATCTAAGATCATGCGGTTCATCATTCACTTAGCATTCATGTTTCTTAGGCACGGTACCAAGCACTCGATGAGAGACGCAATTTGAGACATGTTCTTATCGGAGACATTGGAACACTATATATATATATACTCACTCTTTTTTGTTTAGTTGAACTTGCTTTCTGAATGTCACGCAATTTGCACACCTTCCCATCCCAGGGTTAGGTGAATGTGGGTTGAATAAATGAGGCCAGGCGTTAGACGAGGCTCAAAGTGGTTAATGAAGAAATGGATATGTGATTGAAAATGGTTTACGGGGAATGACATGGTTGCAAAGGTGCCTCAAATAGCTCGTGTACCTTGTTTTAGTGCGACATTTTTTTTTCGCATAAGAAAGTCATGATCGAGATATAAAGGAATAATGCTCTTGTTATTGATGGAAATGGTGAATCAACAAACACAATGATCAAATAACAGAAAGAGAAATCTATGTTAGGCTAATGGGGAAAAGGGAAATGATTAAGAAAAAATATCATGAAATCTTGTATGATGAACTTGCTGTGCACTTAGTCTTTATTACTTCTTGCCGCCTGGAGGGACAGGAAGTTTGTTTGCATCCACCAAGTCTTGAATGACGTCCTTCAAATTCCAACATTGCTCGGTAGTGTGGCCCCTTCCTTGATGGTACTTGAAATGGGCATTGGGATTCCATTTGGCGCTCCTTTATTCAGGTTTTGGCTCTTGAAATGGCCCAATAGGTGTAATCAAGCCTTGACCGTAAAGGCGATCAAAGGCCGCATCATAAGTCAATCCTAAAGGAGTGTAAGTTCTCCTTTTCTTAAGCAATGGAGCATCAAGAGCTGAGATCAACTTGGCTTATATTGTTGGTAGTATTTTCGTGCTTAGAAGACGAAGAAGAAGGATGGTCGTTCTTCTTGTTTTTTAAAGTGTTATTATTGTTACTACCAGCAGTCTTTATTAGCTTATCCTCGATATTGAAGCCGATGTCGTATACAGCTTCGAAAGTGTTCAGTGGAAGAAATTTGAGATGTTCCCTATATTTGAGAGTCAGATTTTGAATAAAGAGGTGAACCATCTCTCTTTTTTTGGGAGGATCTACCAAGAGTGAGGTCGTTTCCCTCCACCTGTTCAGATAAGCGGTGAAGCCTTCATTCTCTTTCTGTTTGAGAATGGAGAGTTCACGATCAGAAGTTTTAGTTTAAATATTACACTTGTAACGATTCATGAAATTGTCGGTGACATCTTGCCAAGTCGCAGCACGCTTAGCATCTAGGGAATAAAACCATTGTTGGCAAGCATGCTCTAAGGAGAGAGGGAACACCGTAGGGAAGAGTGTTACGTCCAATCCCTTAAGAGCCATAGTTGCAGAGAACGCCTTTAAATGGAATATTGGATTGTCAATAGGCTTGAAATTTGGAATATCAGCAGTGGAGAACTTTTTAGCACTAATGGAAAAAATCTCATTCGTAACAGGTTATTTGTAACGGGCAAAGCTTTGCCCGTTACAATTAAGATATTCGTAACGGGCAAAATAGTGTCCGTTACGAATACTTATTTATTCGTAACGGGCAAAATAGTGTTCGTTACGAATACGTATGTATTTGTAACGGACAAATTAGTGCCCGTTACGAATAAATAAGTATTCGTAACGGACACTATTTTGCCCGTTACAAATACTATATTACACGTAAATGCCCAAACTTGGCCCAAATGATGAGAGGAGCCCAATACTTGGCTTTTTAGGGTTTCACCTCTATCTCTCTCATCAGTCCCTCACTCCCTCTCTCTCTCCTCTCCTCTCCTCCCGTCATTCACCTCTTTCTCTCATTTCAAACTCAATCCCTCTCATTTCGAGGAGCAATCTGACCGGCGGCTTCATACACGAGCTCCCAAGCGACGTCGTTTTTGGGCGGAGGTGTAACCGGCGGTGACGGAACTCTTGGTGATATCTTTGCCGGCGGTAAGAAGTCCTTCAATTGTTTTTTCCTCTTCTTGAATTGATTTCTGAGCATCTAATTCTTTAAATTCTTGAATTCTAATTTGCTTTATTTTGTATTTGATTCATTTTTGGCATTTGGGGTGACATTGGGTAGTTTTGGGCATTTATGTATGAAAACACGGATGATACTGCATTTCCATGGATATAAGGATGTCATTTATCATGTTAAATACTCTTAATTCATTCCCGTAACCAATTTCTATTTTCTGTTTTTTTTTTTCCTGGGTTTCTTATGTAGTTTTTGTAGATCTACGCTTGTTTTTTTAAAATTTGAGGAATGTATCTTGTTGGGTTTTTTTTTTCAAATCACTTTTAATTGTCTTTTGGTTGTGTTATTTGATGTGATTTTCTTGAGATTAGTTGATGGGATTTTTTGGGTTTTTGAATTCGGTATTTGGGATTTTTTTTGGAGGTGGGAGTTGTCTTAATTGTCATTAGTTATTCCGTTAGAATTGATGTTATGATTTCGGGTATGAACTATTGTAATTCTTGTTGGATGTGTTTTGTTTTGGGCAAGTGTTGTGGTAGAAATAATGCTTGTTCTTTGTGTTTTCACTTCCTTTGTAATTCTCACAAGTTATTTATTTATTTTTTTTAAAATTCTATGATTCCTACTGAGTGAAAATCTGAGTTTGCTGAAGGAGTACTGTCACTGAATGCAATCTGTGCATGGTAAGGCCCAAAAGAGTGATTTTGATTTGTTATCTAGAGGAGCCTATCTTGTCATGGGTGGGGAATTTCAGCGTGCTGCACTGGTGGAAAGATAACGGCTGTAAGTATCCTTAGCTATCAAGGATGGCTCGCGACTTCCTGGCTATTCCTATGTCTGTTGCCACTTCTTATGACGCGTACTATACTGAGTAAAGGGGAGTTGAAAGGACATTGTTATCTTTGAAACCTAAGTTGGTGAATGCCTTAAAGTGCACTAGGAGTTGGAAACTCAGCGCTAATAAGTTAAATTAAGAAGGTACTAGTCCTAAATGAACTTCTGCTTCTGTTTTTATGGTCTAAAATGATAATGTTTTGTTCTTTTTTTACTTTCATTTCCGTCTCAATTAATTATCCTCTTGAATTATTCGTGTTGTTTGCTTGTTGCAGCTGCTGCTAGTACAACCTCCACGAATAAATTGTCATGGTCAAACTATGGGAGTATCCATTGGAGTTCTTATTTTGGAAGTATAAGTATAATCTTTTGCTTATTACAAGTAATTAAACTTGATTTAGCTCGTGTTTTGGAGTTGTCCTTTTAAAAATATGGCTTGCCATGAATCACTATGATCAACTTTTCCATGAAAAATACTGCATTGGTGTTAATTTCTAGTTTACAACTCTAGTTTTATACATTCGTTCACTCAATAGTTCATGGTAATGTTTGCCCGTTTCTGTTCAAGCTTACTGTTGGAATTTTGCTCAAATTGCTTGCAGTTTTTTAGAGCAGAAATCAGGATGACTTGTTAAATACTTAAATGGCTTTGGTTATGGTAAACTCCTAATTACAAAACATACATGTTACATACTGAAGAAGTGAAAGTGAAGGGTAGATATCATCATATTGAGATCATAGTGGGCTTATTAGCTTAATACATATGGGCCTGTTTAAATAAAAAATTCAGCTGTCCAAGTATCCAATTTAGTAGCTATGACTATTATTATACATCGTATAAGTGTATAGCCCATGTTTGATCGCATTATATGTTACCCATTGAATATTTTCTTGGGCTAACTCTTGATCATAATTTAATAACACCTTAATTCAACTATTCAAGATATGTAGTCATAACATTTGTTTTAACTAAATTGAAAAGTTTAAGCTTAAATATACTACGTAACTTAATGTGAATGTCAACTAATTTAGTTGGTTTGTGTTTTTCAAGTATAATTTTATTTTTTAATTCTTCTTTGTGGGTGAAAAATTTGATACATATGATTGTAGATTTAATTTGCTCTAATTTCCTTGGGGTTCTCTTTCTCTAGTCTCTAGCCTATTATGAATTTAACTTTACCAATTTTCATTTTGTTAGATTTTTAGTGAAAGATAAGAGGAATTTAAGAAAATTTAAAATATTTCATAGCTAAATATGTTCTACCAAGTAATCAATTCTTCATGAAACGGTCACAAATATAAAACTGAAAAATTTAGATGAATGTAGTTAAGCTATTGTGATTTTGTGAATATGATACTTAAAGATTGTATAAAATCTAGTACATACAGATTGAATAATGTCATTGTACTTTGGTCTAAGGCTCTAAGCAACCAAACAAGTTCGTGCTGTAAGAAAAAAATCTAATGTCAATAATTTAGGTAATAACATGTTTGTATTTAAGCATTTCGTATTGAATTCTTACAAGATGTGATGTTTAGTTTCATACTTGGTGCATTGGTTAGCTACAATTAGAAATTGATAGGCTCAAAGAGTATGTCTTTGTGATGGTTGTTTAACAATCCAACCATCCATTTATCCCAGGAAATAATATACCCTGTATTTCTGAAGATTTTCGTTCGTTTTCCAAAGTCCTAATCTCCTTTTCAAATTTTAGTTTGCATACTCAACAACTGATTTTGTCCTGCCTTAAAATTTATTCTTGTAATAAAAAATATACTCTAGAACTCTTAAACTTGATCATGTTTTTTTGTTCTTCTCTGAAGGGATGCTGGGGAAAAAGAGAAAATAAATGAGTGCTGAAGGATTTAAGCCAATATCATCTTACCTTGGATTTCCACTCAATCTTTGGTCACCTCCACAGTGGATTTTACAAGATCACACACCTGTCCCTGTGCCCTTATAGGTAATTTGTGTTATTAATTCTCCCTCTACCCTTTATAGTTTGCTCGGGGCATTTATTTGTTATCTTTGACATTATATCCAATCTGCAGGGTGTTGGCTAAGTGTAGGAAATAAAAATAGATAAGTAAAGGTTTAAGAATTCAAAGATGTGAAGCATGTCACTGAGCAAGGTAACTTCTCACAATGTTTTAGCCTTTCTGTCCGAAATCAATTATCTTATCATAGCCTTCAACTCTTTGATGACTGTTCTTGCAGCATTTCATCTGGAGGCTTTAAGGGTGGATCGCAACAATACTCAGATCACTCACTCAATATCAAGGGCTTATATAACTTCTTCGAGTCAGGTATTCAATAAAATTTACACCTGTCTAAATCTTTTCAGATCCTTTGGCTACTAGTGTTTGCAAGGAAGTAGAAACCCTGTTCACTTTGATACCTCTATATTTTTGACAGCACAACCAAAGTGATAACTCGACAATCATGTTTGAAGGACTTGAAATACGGTCTACTTTACTTTCGACGTTGCAAAAGGTATGGTCTAAGCATGGAAACTTTATAGAAAATATAAACATATGTAAGAGCTGAGCATGGAATTTTTTTAATGAATTTTGTTTGTCTTCCAGTCTTCTGCTGTTTGTCGAAACCTATGACATGGAATTGAGAGTTCAAGTTTGTATTTAGTTTTAAATAATCATCAGCTTTAATAGAATTCTAGCTTCATATGATAAGGCAAAAGGATGCCTTGTCATTTTGTTGTTCAAAGTGTTGCGCCGAGTTAAAATTATTGCGTGCCCCTCATATTGAGTTTTTTTCCTGACATTATATAGGAGGTCTAGCTTGAAGTAAATTTTTTTATAAGGTCAAGGCCGTTTTGAATCATTTATCCCCCGATTATTCTCTCTATTACCTATGCTCTGCTGGAAATTTAATCGTTTCAAGTGTTTACGTTTGACAAAATAGTGATATGTTGGTTCAATTGATGCATGTGTGTTTGTTGTAGTTATGTTGAGTACTTGAGTTGTCTTAGAAGCTCTCTCTATCTCACACTCTCATTCTTTCTTTATCTTTAATCTCTATTCTTTCTTAATGAAATCTGGGTATATTCAAGCAAAACAAGTAACTTTCTTTGTCTCTCAATGGGAAAAGTTCATCCTTTTTTGTGTTATTGATTTGGTGTTATCTATTTTTTGTGATTTTGATTTTTTTTTTTTCATTGTTTGGATAGGTTGCTGTTGCAGAAGCTACTGTTATCATTGTTGCTGCTGCTTATGGTTGCTGCTGCTCTGCTATTACTGTTGCTCTAGGAAGCTGTTTAAGCTATAATATTTACATTTTTTTTACTCATTAACCTTTTACAATATTATGAGTTTGTAAGCAGTTTTTAATTGTAAAATAAATTTGGTGTGCATGATATGATTGATAATATATATTTGTGTCATGAAAACAAATATTTGGATTTGGATCTCACAGTACTTATTTGCAACGGACATTTCACCTGTCCGTTATTTTTTTTAATTAGATCTCACAGTATTCGTAACGGGCAGGTTCTGCCCGTTACAAATAACCCCGTTATTCATAACAGGCAGAACCCGTCCGTTACAAATAACCCCATTATTCGTAACGGGCAAAACATGTGCCCGTTACGAATAACGGGGTTATTTGTAACGGGTGTTTGGAATGCCCCGTTACAAATAATGAAGTATTCGTAACGGGCGACTGAAACGCCCGTTATGAATAAGTACTTATTCGTAACGGGAATTTCATTTGCCCGTTATGAATAAGTACTTATTCATAACGGACGGTGCCCGTTACGAATAACAATGGCTATCCGTAACGGCCGCATACGTAACGGACGCTGCCCGTTACGGATCGGCCCTTTTTGCCCGTTACGGATGACCTTTTTTCCACTAGTGTAGGGAGCCTGACTTTCACATCCAAAGGAGTAGGAGGCTGTTCCACATTAGTGAAATCCTTAGAAATTTTACTCATTTGTTCCTTCAATTTGTCAAGGGTAGAAATAGTGACCTTGTTTTGTTCCATGGTAGTGACCCTAGTGGTAAGGGTTTGCATCATGGAAGATAGTGCCTCGATGGATTTGTTAATGTTCTCAATATCTTCTTTAGTGACCATTGAAAGGTGATAAGTAATGTGGAGATGGCGAAGTTCTCTTTGAACGCCTCTTGGATTTAAGAGGATTGTCACGGCCATGACTTAAACCGTATTAATCTACCCCTGCTCCTTGACCAAGTACTGTGAAGTCAAACAATTCACTTAATTGTTTGACTCATTGCTTAAGATAGGAAAGGAAGGGAAAAAATAGACATTTGAAAACAGGTGAGAAAGACCCGACTCATTTTTTTTATTATGACGAAAAAAAGGGTGCATGAACCTAGTATACGATCATAAACAACCTGGTGCACAACTCGACTCGGAACATAAAGAAAGTGTGTGGACTATACATGACTCGTTAGTGATTAAGTGATGTTATAAGACTCGTGGTATGTTCGTATGGCTAGACATGTGAACAGTAAACAAAATGACTAACACGCAGACCAAATTAGCACGGAAGACCAAAATAGGGGCTGACTGGACTTAAACTTGGGCAGTGTGTCGTGGCGCAACTGTCGTGTCACGGAAAACCTGCACCGTGGTGCGGTATAGGACGTCGTGACACGGTATTGATTGCCGTGACGCGACTTTTTTGCCATGGCACGGTAATTAGTTCCAAGTTTTTATGTGATTTTACAAGTTTTTTTTTTGTTTTTTGTTTTTTTTTTGTCAATTTTAGAGTTTTCGCTAATTACTAAGTGAGTAACGTCCCATTGGAAATTGTTAGTCATAAAATAATCCACCATAGACAAAGAAAGATTGTTAAGGTTAGGATTAAATCAATCAAATATACACACATAGGACACGTCGGCACAATGATGCAAAGAATAGTTTGCAACCTAAGGTCCAGTTCTATGTTCCACTATGGTCAGGTTTTATTTGGTGTCAAAAGGGTACCATGGTTAAGAGTTTGGACGCGTTAGCAAGGCAGCCTCCCTCGAGGGTGTATGCCAACGGGCGGCTCCACGAGTTCATGATGAAATCGAACTGGACTCCATGGTTTGGGTGGATTTAAAAAAAATTCGGATGAACCCTTTTTTCCATGAGCGGTTTTGGGTTAGTAGAGCTTAAATCCCTCGGGGCTAAGACGTGTGTAGAACACACACGTATTTTCAAAAAAAATCGAAGGAAGCTGACTATGAGAAGAGAAATAAAGCCACTGGAAGGATTTCAAAACTGTCGCGACACGGCAGAATCTACCGTGTCACGGTGCTCCAGCACCGTGACATGGTACCCTACGCCGTGACACGTCAAGCTCTGCTAAGGCGCGACAGTAAGGAAATCTGACTGGTGCCCCTATTTTCTTCGTTCACGACCAGGTTATCCAATTTTTCCTATGGGACAAACCTAAATGTGACGTTAAAACGTCTATGTATATGCAAAAAATGCCAAATTAATCATAAGAATACTTTTCAAGAATCTTTTAAATCTTATCCACTCATCTTAATTAAATACTGATCACTCAAATCGATAAATAACCAAGAACCCTCCCCAGTGGAGTCGGCAAATTGTAGGCATCGTTTGAAGTGCGCCTACGTTAGCATGTTGTGAATATGCTTGGCACTCAAAGGAAGTGGGAATTGACATAATACGATTAGGGACAAATAAAGTAGGGAGTCGCCAAAAAGTTTTTAAGGAACTTGTAAACCGTTCACGGATCATCAAAGGCAACCACGATTAAGGGACAACGAAAGGCAACAACGATTGACCCGTGAAGGTTACACCCCATTCATAATCCATGAGATTACTAACTCCATATGGTTTGAAACCACGAAAGGAGGATCGGGGATGATGGTATGAAGTGAGTCATGGAGTCACATTCGCTCGTATTGGCCTCTACTCTATTCTTATAGTGAAAAGTGATTCCTGCGATCTCAAAGACATGCAAACGAAGATTCAATTTGCTCCAAAGTATAATTATGCTAAATTGGTTGAATATTAATGCAACATATAATTCTAAAATATTGTGATCACTTTAATTAATAACAAGATTAAAGAAACCAAAGCTGGTTGTCCAAATTATCTTATTAGACGTGATTTTCAATTACATATTCCCTTTAACATGCAATATGGTGATCATAAATAATAATAGAATAAACATTAATATTAGAAGCAATTTAACAATAATAGCGTTAGTCAAATCAAATATAAATTAGAAAAAATTAGAAATAATAATCCCAACTTTCATCAATTTTTGTAGAATAATCCCAACTTTAGATTATACTGGAATAATCCGAACTTTGGGGGGTCTTCTTTTTCTTCAATCCCAATTACCGGTTACCTGTTGAAAAGGTTAATTTCTTTTGTATATATATATATGCTAATTAGCAAAAAAAAAAAACAATAAAACAATAAAAATAAAAAAAAATACCAGATTCCTAGTCCTGTTGCTCACAGAATCCCCAGCCACCACAATCCCACAACCCTTCTACCGCCGTCCACAACCCACAACCTTCTTCCTGCCGTCCAGCCGCCACTAATCTCGGAAAACCCCAGTCGTCCTTCCCCCTTGAACCACCACCCTCAAACCCACGAATCTCCTTTACCGTCAACCTACTCCAGCCACCACCACCACCACTCGAAACCTCCATAAAACCACTTTGCGAAAACCCTTAAAACCTCCTCCCTCCGTCCCGAAACCCCCAAAAACTCCTCCCACACCATTAAAAACCCTAGACGCTAGGGTTTCGAGGTGGAGGAGGAGTTTTGGTGGTTTTTTGGGAGAGGTAAATGGGTTTTTTGTGATGGACTGGTGCTTGCACGGAGGGGTTGGAGGGTATTTCGGGGAAGGGGGAAAATGGCATGAGAAATAGGCGGTCGACGTGGGAAGAATGGCTGTCGGCGATCGACGACGGACTCGGCAGTGGTGGTGGTTTGGTGGAGGTTAGGGTGGGACTGTGTGGGAGGGGAGGTTGGTTGGGTTTCTGATTTTTTTTTTTGGTTTTTTTTTTAAAAAAATTTGGACCAATCAAGACTTTTTTTTTTTTTTTGGAAAATAAGATTTTATTACTAAAGAGAGAAAGTTACAACTTACCAGAGCTAAGTTATAACTACCACTAGAACACCACAAGACCTGTGAAACAGGCCAACCCCCAAAAACCGGTTCTAGATCCTATCCTAGCCACCTTCTAGGAAGGGTTCTAGGAAGGGCCTAGAACAAACTGGACTTAGATTTCCAGCCACCTTCTAGGAAGGGTTCTGGAAATCAGGACCAGACAACAACACTAGCAGCAAACTACAAGGCAAACAACCCAAAAACACCAAAACAACAAAAGCCTAAACAAACAAAGGTTTTCTATTAGAGACAAGGCATCTATAAGCAAATCTGCAAGCTTGTAACCTCTGCCACACCCAGAACAGTAGCACCTAGCAAACACCAGACCAGCTGCCATCCAGAGCCAGCAAACAACAACAAGAACAGAACCAGCAGAAGAGCAGAGCTAGCTGCCACCCTAGCCAAAACACCAGACCAGGAGCAGCAAATAAATTACACCACCTGCCAAAACAACAGCAACCAAAACCAAAACAGCATTTCTAGCAGAAACCAGAACAGCAACCGCAAACAACTGCAACAGCAACAAAAGCAACACAACACTAAGCAGCAGCATCACATTAGATCAGCAGCAGGCAGCAGGCAATAGAACAGCAACAACAGACCAGCTACTGACTATCACAGCAGCTTAACAGTAGGCAAACAGCAACAGCAGCTGAGGAGCAGCAACACAGGACAACAATAGCAACTGAACAGCATCAGCACAACAATGCACCAACAGCAGCAAAGCAGCAAGGCAGTAGAGCAGCAGGACAACAACAACAAAAAATCAGCAGCAGCCTGCAGCACAGCACCAGAACAGCAGAGCAGCAGGGTAACAGAAAAAACATTAGATCAGTAGCAGTCAAAAGCAGGGTAACAAACCAGCAGGGCAGAAGCAGTAGCAGAGAAGCAGCAGCCAGCAGCTTTATATTTTTTTTTTATTTTTTTTAAAACGGAAAATAGCATCAAAGAGCAAACCAGCAGCAACAACAAAGCACTCAATAACCCAAAAGAGAATCAAAAGCAAAACCAGTAAGAACAAACCCAAAACTAAAAATTAGCACTCAGAAACTAGGAATCAGAAATATCAAGAACCAGCAACAACACCAGAAAACCAGAGAAACAGAAGTAGCCCTAAACAATCAAAAATTTGCTTCCCGCCGGGATTCTACAGACTGAATGAAAGACAATATCCCTAACAAGGGCATCAAAAGATTTACAGCACCCAGTAAACAAGACTGCATTCCTCTGAATCCATATACCATAAATCGTTTCAGTAAAGGCTACATGGATCACTTTGTTTTTCAATCTGGAACTTCTGCAG